TATATTAATATTGAATTCTTATTTTAAAATATGCACAGGTGTATCACAAAAGACTCAGTTATATGCCTTGCTATAGTCAAGATTCAGTAGGCCATCTGCATGTGTCTATCTTATCATTCTAGCTGCCTTATTTAAATGCACACATGCACCGCCCCCAAAATGAATAGGGTTTCTCCTTAATATCTTTGATTTTATATTTGTATCTCTTATGCTGGAAACCTTAGTTTTCAGTGACATTAACAATCTTTTTCCTTAAACTACTTTTGATAATTTCAAAATAATAATGTCAATATTACTGAAAAGTTTGCTTTCTTTCATCTCTAGGATATATCCAACTAGGGATATATTACTTTGCTTTTCTGTTGTCTGAAGTAATTCCTGTCTCTGTGCGTAAGCCACCAACTTATAATTAGGATCATTTGTTTTATTTGGTTTTTGACTTTTAGGCATTGCCCCTTTTTCCACTTTAATTTAATTTTACAAATATTTAAAATATGTACATGACCCTAAAATTTGAGCTATAATATAAGGCATTCAGCAAAATCTTTCATCCCTGTCTCTGTTCCTTCATAGGTAAGTATTTAAATTCATTTTTAGTTATCCTCCCATTTTTTAAATGTATTTACATACTTTTTAGTTAGGTAGCCTGTTCTCAAACCATGCTTTTTTTCTTCTTCTTAATATATACTGAAGACTACCCTATAACAATTGATTGAAATCTTCATTTCTTTTATAGCTATGACTATTCCATTGTGTGGATGCAGCATAGTGTATCCAACTGTTTCCTTTTTAATGGACGTCTGGGTTGTTTTCACCTTTCAGTTAGTAGAAATAGTTCTGCAGAGAATGACCTTATATTTAATACATATGGGATTTTTTTTCTTTTGCCAATATAAGAAAAAATGGTTAAAAACATGACTGTTATTTTGGTAAGATGTGAGAGAGAGCAGAAGTAAGTCTTCAGTCTACCACTCTCAACCAGAAGTCTTGCTAGACATTCTAATCATGAATTAGTTTTATCAATTTTTCTGCATCTGTTGCAACAATCTGATGTTTTTTGCTCGTTAATTTTAATTATAATTAATGTTGAATGATAATAATCAATTTTCTGTTAAACCATTCTTGCATTCCTGGAACAAACTCAATTTGGTTATGATTTTTTTTTTAATACAGTGATGGATTTTGTTCACTATTTTATTTGGGATATTTTTATGCATTTGTGTTTAATAAATGAGATTGGCCTATAATTTTCCACTCATGCTGTTGTCTGTTTCTTCCCGTTTATTTTTTAAAATTTACTTTTATGGTGAGGTATAATATACAGAGAATCACAAATCTTATATGTGGAGCTTGGTGAATTTTTGCTTGTGTATATATGACCACCACCCAGATTTAAATATAGAACTTTTCCTGAAACTCAGAAAGCTCCCTTGAATGCCTTTCAGTATCTTTCCCACCAAAGGTAACTATTATTGCTATACATGAAATCCTACAATAATACACTCTTTATGTCCAATTTGTTATGTATGTAATAGAATCTCATTGTGGGCTTTATTTATGTTTCTATGATGAAGATGTTTAGTGCTGTTTCATATTCTCATTGGCCATTGAGATAACTCTCTTGTTATATGCACATTTAAGTCTTGCCTTTTTCTCATGTTGGATTGTCTGGTTTTTCTAAGTTGACTTTTAGAAATTCTTTATAAATTATGGATACTAGTCATTTATTTGATGTATGTTTCTAATTTCTTTCAGACTCTGACTTGTCTTTTTGCATGCTTAATATTATCATTTGGTAAACAGAAATTTTTAGCTTTAGTGAAGTTCAGTTTATTAAATTTTTCTGGGGGAGATCAGAATATTCTTTTTTTATGTATGTACTTTTAAGAAATCTTTGCCCACCCTACTGTTATAAAGGTATTTTCTAGAAGAATATGTTTATCTTTTGTTATATGTTTAGGTCTATGAACTATTTAAAATAGATTTTTATGTGTGATATGAGGTTGGGGTCAACATTCATTTTTCTCCATATAGAAATGTGTTGAAATGAACATCTTTTTTCTGACTTAATTTCAGTGGTGTCTTTTGTCATGAATCAGACAAAAGCAGTCAGCCAGTTGGTTGCTTTTTGAATTATTTACTGTGCTCCATTGATCCATTTTTCTAGATTTACACCAATATCACACTGGCTTAGTTATTATAATTTTAGAGTAAATCTTGATATCTGGTAAAAAAAAAAAGTCTTTCAGCTTTACCCTTTTTGTCTTGACAGTTCTATGTCTTACATTAACACTGTTTGTAGTTTTTTGTGTGGAGGTCTGTCTTAGTCTGTTTGGGCTGCTATAACAAAATACCTTAGACTGGGTAATTTATGAAAAATAGAAACCTTATTTCTCATAGATCTGGAGGCTGGGAAGTTCAAGATCAAGCCAGCAGATTCAGTGTCTGGTGAGGGCTTGTTTCTCATAGATGGTATCTTCTACTTGTCCTCATATGGTGGAAGAAGCAAACAGGCTCCATCAGGCCTCTTTAAAAAAAAAAAAAGGGCAATAATCCCAGCCCTCATGACCTAATCACCTCTGAAAGGCCTGACCTCTTAATACCATCATCTTGGGCGTTAGGTTTTAACATATGAATTTTAGGGGGACACAGACATTTAGACCATAGCAAGGTTTTTTACTTTCTTTATTAGACTGGTTCATAGGTACTTACTATTTTCTTCGATGCTATTGTTATTGGTGTTTTAAAATTATTTTTAATTTTTATTTTTTGCTTTACCATTCCTGTTGTTCTTCCTTGATACCAGAAGGTCCATGTTTCAGTTCACCTTAAGTATCTTTTCCTTCTACTTGAAGAACTTTCTTTAGCATTTCTTTTAGAGCCTGTCTACTGGTGACAGATTCTTTTAATTTTCTCTTATCTGAATATGTCTTTATTTTACTTCATTTCTGAAGGATATTTTCACTTGATGCAGATTCCTAGGTTGAGAGTTTGTTCCACTGTCTTCTGGTTTCTGATGAGAAATCCTTATGACCCTGTACCTAGAAATAAAGTGTATTTTTTCCTGAATGTTGTCAAGATACTTCCTTTATATTTGGTTTTCAACAGCTTGATTATGATGTTTTAGTTTGTAGTTTTAAAAATTTTATTCTGTTTTGTCTTTCCTGATCTTAAATCTGTAAACATAATATGTTTCTATAAATTTTTAGTAATTTCAGAATTGTTTCTTCGTTTTTTTTCCTATACCAAAGTGTTTCTTTTTCCATACAGAGACTTCAAAACATTAATGTTAGATGTTTTGATATTCTCTGTTAGATATTGATAGGTGATTTTTCTATCTTTTAAAAAATTTTAACTATCTGTGCTTCAGATTCAGTACTTTTTTTGGTCTGTTGGAGTATTCACTCTTTCTTCAGTCTTCTCCATTATGCTGTTGAACCAAGCAAATATTTTTTTATTTGGGATACTACATTTTTCAGTTCTAAAATTTTCATCTAGTCTTTTTATACAGTTTCCATTTTTCCTAAGAGAATTTCAGTCTCACCATTGGTTTCAGTATCTAATGGAGCGTGTTTATAATATGTGTTCTAAAGTGTTTGTCTGATTACTCCAACATCTATTTCATCTCAGACTTAGCATTTCTTGAATCTCTTTTCTATTGGCAATTACTCATATTTCACTGGTATAGCTAGGAATTTTGAATTATGTGTGGACGTTCTGAACATTATTTGTGAGACTGACTCCTACTGAAATTCTCTGGAGAATGTTGAGTTGTGTTTTAGGGGGCATCAGCCTGGTTGGGTTCAGATTGAAGTTTCATATGGATATTTTTAGGTCATGGTTTCAACATCAAATTCAATTTCTTAGCAGTTGTTATGCTCTTACCCACCTCTTTCTTGTTGGGGATTTTGCTCACAATTCTTGGCTCTCCAAGGCTGCTTTTTTTTGTTGTTTTCTCGGGCTGGAAAGATGAGATTCTCCAAGAGCTTTAAAACTCTTGCACTGTATAGTTTTTCCTGAATGGGGCAGCTGTCAAGTCTAAGTAATGAGAAAAGAGAGAGAGAGAAAATAATACCAAGAGTTATCCTCACAGTCTTTATGTAACAGGGTCCTACTTTATTGTTTCTCTCTTCAGAAGAATGGGATTTCACTCAAGCTCTCATGTATGCAAGCCTAAGCTCCACCAGTATACTACAGTTCTGCTTCCAGTTCTGTCCTGGGGCCAGGCTAGAAGAGAGAAAAAAAAGGGGTGGGGGGAGAAAACCTCTGGACTATTTTCCCCACATGCAAGGTTAATTTTTTTCTATTTTCTGATCAGAAAGTTGGACTTCTAAAAGAGTTTCTCTAACCATACCTGCTACTCATATCCCGATTCAGTCTGTCCTTGGGTCAATTCCAGAAAGTAACAGAGGGGAAAACTAAGGAAGCATAGTGTCACTATATTGGTCATTCAGTAGCTTTTGACTTTATTCCTCAGTCTACCTACTCTCATTTTTTAAATGAGTTCTCAGGTAGTTGATGTTTTTATTTTGTTTTGTTTTCTGTAGAGTTTTTAGTTGTAATCAGTGGAAGAGGCCTCAAGCCTCATAATTTTTTTGAAATAAATTTTGCTTGGTTTAGAATTCTTTGTTGATTCAACACTTGTTTTAAAAAGCATTTGAAAGAACTCAGTCTAACTCTTCTGCCTTACTATATTTATTTCTCCGAGCATAATGTATATCCTTTTTTTTTTTTTTTTTGTTTTGCTATTAAGATTTTCTCTTTATCAGTGGTTTTTAGCCATCTGATTATGATATGCTTTGGTATGATTTTGTATTTTTCTTACTTTGGATTGATTGAGTTTTATCGATCAATGTGTTTATAATTTTCATGAAAGTTAGATGAAATTTAGAAACTTCATCAATTATTTCTTCAAAGTTTTTTCTGTTTTTCTATTAGGTTGGTGCAAAAGTAATTGCGGTTTTAGCATTGTTGAAATTTTCCATTTGATATTGGAATACATTCTTAAATAAATGTGTTTATGTCATGCATCATTTTAATGTGCATTTCTCACATTGTGTTTTTTGCTAATGATTTATTACTTGCTGTTTATTTTATATTTATTTTGGACTATGAAAGTGATGTTAGACAAAAAGCAAATTTGAGTGATTTTATTCATTACATCTGAGAAGTATGTTCAGCAAATCAATGAGATGCACCGAAAACTACAATACTTGGGCCAGCTGGTGCTGGTCAACAGAAAGGGCCCAGTTCTTCTCCATGACAACACTCGACCAACCACATGTTGCACAGCGAACACTTCAGAAGTTGAACCAATTGGGCTACGATGTTTCGCCTCGTCCAGCATATTCATCTGACGTCTCGCCAGCCAACTACCACTTCTTCAAGCATCTCAACAATTTTTTGCAGGGAAAACGCTTCCACAATCAGCATGATGCAGAAAGTGCTTTCCAAGAGCTCATCGAATCATGAAGTGTGGATTTTTATACCACAGAAATAAACAAACTTATTTCTCGTTGGCAAAAATGTGTTGATTGTAATGGTTCTTATTTTGATTAACAAAATTGTGTTTGAACCTAGTTATTAATATAATGATTTAAAATTCACGGTCTGGATGTTCAGCCGCGTTGCAGCAGGGGTGCAGCCTGGCGTTGTGGAGCAGAGGGAAGACCCGAAAGGCTTCCTTGGTATTGATGGGGCTACGTCTTAAAACTCCATAGAGTTTGTATGTAACGCATTGTCACATCCTCCATCCAACTCAACATCAGCTCCTTCTCTGTGACTGGGTCCTGATTAAGGTCCTCCCAAGACAGACTTCATTGGATCTGTGCTCAAGAGGCCTCTGCCAGGTTTTCCTGACCCCCCTACATTGCTGTAAAGTGCCAAGACCTTAAGACTTGAGTACATGTATTATAACGGCAAGAGTGCCAACACCAACAAAAGAGCCACTGGACCTGTCAGCTCCTCTGTTTCACTGAACAGACATAATAATCTTACCAAGAAGGCAGGGTAAGCCAAGTGCCTCTGTGTGACACCACCACCAGCTGATAACAAAAAATACAATAATAACCAATTTAGCCTAGAGTCATCTCTTCTTGAGAAGCGATTCTGAGATCCGTGCTGCTAGTAAGTGACTAATAACATTATAAGTGACTGATAACATTATAGACTGTATTGGTCCCTGAGTTGCAATTGAGTGAAAAATAGACAACGAAATCTTGAAGAATTGCACAGAGGTGCAAGCCAAATTTAACCCTCACCAAGTAATGTTGGTTGAACTGAGAAATTGCTAAACCAAACCTCTACTAGGACTGCTTATTGTGGTGTCTCTCTTTGACATTGCCTCTCCCTGTGTTGTCTTTCTAGATCCAGATGTTCTCAGATAATTCACATTGCCCTGATGGTGGACAACAGTGGTTCCCTAGTTTAGAACTAGGCCATTGGTTGTACCAAACTGAACTTGTTGAAAATGAATGTTACCAAATATTCTTAGACCGTATAAACAGAGCTGATTATTGCCCAGAGTGTTATCCTGATAATCCTGCGAATAGAAGCCTTGTTCTTCCATGGTCTTTCCCACTTGAGTGGGCTCCCCAAAATCTCACCAGGTGGACCTTTGAAAAAGCTTGCCATCCATTTCTTCTGGGTCCTCCACTGGTTAGAAAAAGAATACATGACTCTAGACTAGCTGGTTTTAACCCTGTGCATTACAGTTAATCTTGACCAGAACAGACAAAACCTTAAATTAAAAAGTTGGCCAAAGCAAATAACTTTTCCAACAGTCAAAATCATCAAGTTCTAGAGGGCTTTGTGCTAGTAGCCCAAGGAAGATGGAAAAAATAACTCATTTCTAACTCTGTCCACACTGTCACTACATTGGGGTACTGCTTAAATCATTGGGTCTGCTTCTGTGGCCTACACATATTTTGTTCAGCATGAGTTTAGTCAGTATTCAAGCCAGACTGTTGATCTACAGCTAGACTAATCCGTATTCCCTATAAGCAATGTTTTGAACTATCTTGACACTCCTAAAAAGTTCCACAGCCTGATTGTTGATGAATGATAAGGTAGTCCTAGAAGGGAGGCCCCACACTTTGTGCTGCATAGTGGTATTTCTAAGGGTAACTTTTGTGGGAAAGCGTTCTCGTTGAAGCTGGATCGTAGATTATTCCAGTAAATTTTTTTTTTTTTTTTTTTGAGACAGAGTCTCGCTTTGTTGTCCAGGCTAGAGTGAGTGCCGTGGCGTCAGCCTAGCTCACAGCAACCTCAGACTCCTGGGCTTGAGTGATCCTTCTGCCTCAGCCTCCCGAGTAGCTGGGACTACAGGCATGCGCCACCATGCCCGGCTAATTTTTTCTATATATATCAGTTGGCCAATTAATTTCTTTCTATTTATAGTAGAGACGGGGTCTCGCTCTTGCTCAGGCTGGTTTTGAACTCCTGACCTTGAGCAATCCGCCCGCCTCGGCCTCCCAAGAGCTAGGATTACAGGCGTGAGCCACAGCGCCCGGCCATATTCCAGTAAATTTTAATAAGAACTATGTCTAAATTCCACATCTTACACATTGATCAGTGATGGTATTATATATATATATATTCATATGTAATCATTTATTCATCATTGACTCTGGCCCATCCTCAGTGTGGCTGTGACATTGGTAATTGGTCAATGTCAGAGAAATCACATTGTATTAAGCAACATATGCATAGTTTATATAAAAACATGCAGAGATATGCCATCTGTCTACACTTTGCTCTGCATAAACAAAGACTGTCCTTTGTGATGAGTGAATTTATAAAGTCCTCCCCTGGATATGGAAATGGAAAAGTACCTGTATGAAATACATGACAAAAGGAATTATCGAGGCTGACTCCATATGTATTATGAACAGTCTAGGGGAAGCATCTTAGAACTAAGAAGGTATTTATTGCTGAACATTGGCCACATTCTGGATTTTTCTTGTTCATGAAAATCATGGAACCAAAGTTGGGGTTAAGCAACTTAGAGAAAACTATTGAAAACAACTCAGAGGCCACTGAACAATTTTTAAATTACACTTAAGATGCTAGGTATCTAGTGGTAGCATATTATCTCAACAATATTATCAAGGACCCAAGTTCTTTCTGTCTTTCCCTGGAATCCTTGTCATGTTTGCTTTTTGTCCTTAATGGTGGTTTCTTCAATGAGTACAATATGGCTTGTTGCACCAGATATTTTAATCCCAGGCAAAGGCTAGAAGTAGGAAGCAAAAGGCTTTCTTCTTGCAAGTCTATCTTTTATTTGGGAATAAAGTCTTTCCCCAAAGTTCACAGCAGGTTTCTTCTTAACATCTCATTAGAAGGTACTGGTTCACAAGGGAGCCTGGGAAAGCTTGGCAGAGGGGAACAGTATTAGCATTGCCTGGGTAGAGCACATTGCCTCCACTGATAAAATCAGGGCTCTTTTAGATAGAGAGAAATGAGAAATGAATGACTGTTGGTGTGCAACAAATCATACTTGCCACATGTTGTGAAACCTTAAGTTACTTGTTGCTCTGTATAAAGAATGTACCCCAGAGATCCATCCTGTACCTGCCTTATGTCTATCATGATGGAGGTTCTCTCCTGTTATATTGCTAACTAAACTGTGTGGGCTGCTAAAATAAATAAATAAATGAAAAAAAAAAAAACCAAAAACAAAATTCACAGTCTGAAACTGCAATTACTTTTGCACCAACCTAATACAACATTCCTCTCCCCTTGCTGTTTACGTTTTCCTTTCCTTTTTTTGCCTTCAGTTACACTTAGGTTAAATGGCTTTATATTGTTTCCCATTTCACTGAGACTTTTCTCCTTTTTCTCTTCACTTAATTTTAGAAAGTTTCTCTTGCAATTTCTACAAGTTCACTGATCTTTTCTTCTGCCATGTCTAGTATGCTATTTTATTGTAGATAGTGTATTTTTTATCTGTACTCACACTGATTTTTTAACAGTTTTCATTTTTTTCTTCATTATTTTTTTCCATCCTTGAGCCAACCGAACATATGCAAAGTAATTTTACATTTTTCTCTGCTAGTTTCATTACTTTTGTTATTTTGGGGTCTCTTTCTAGTTAGTGATTTTCCTCTTGGTTATGCTTTTTTGGATAGATTTCTTAGGTATCTTGTATATGTAGATATTAGGGCTGAAAAGTTATTTCAGGTTAATTTTTATATAAATATTTTTGTTTACTTCTAATGGTTTCTTCTTCTCTGGGAGTTTGCCTTTAAGGTCCAATCATATGGCAGTTTTGAAATGTAACCTCCACTTCTTCTGCCCAGTAATAGGACTCCTTTCTGTTTGGAGTATAGGCCTTACTGTGGGGAGAAGCGCTTGCAGGTCAACAGGTGAGGTGAATATGGAGCTCATCTTACTTATTTCTCTCAAGGATCATAGCCTATCATGTTTTTTTCTGTATGATTGAAATTAAATGCTTTTGAACACTTGGTTTATACATTTTTTACAGCTTTTCTGGTTCTTTTAAGTGGAAATTTTAGTCTTGTCATTACAAGTATCAAGTCTCATAGTTTTGATGTCTGGGGTTAACTAGTATCATAAAATGATTTCGAAAAAAATTTTTCTTTCTCTATTATTTGAAATATTATTTCCTCATTTCTCATGTTTTCATAGTTATAGCTATTGCAGGCAAATGTAGAACCAGCTTAAGTTCCATAAAAATTCCTCTTGACCTTTTTCTATTTTTAATTGAAGCTTAATATACACACACAGTCAGTGCGTAAAGTGCACTAATGTTAGCATACTGTTTGATGACCTATATACTTTGTGAAACCACCACCTGCACTAAGTTATAAAGCATTTCTCATTACTCAATAAGATTTCTTCATACTTCTCACCAGTCAGATGTAACACATTCTTCTTTCTCTTAATAATTTCACCTGTTATTGAACTTCATTTAAATATTACAACAGAGCAAGATTTTTTTTCCTTCTGGCTTCTTTAATGTAGTACCACTACTGTTAAATTATTCATGATGTTTACTGTATTAATATTAATAATTAGCTTTTTTTCATGCACAGACTTTCATTGCCTAAATATGTCATAATTTATTCATTTATTTCCCAGTTCATGTGTATTTGTATTGTTTCTATTTTTTGGTGATTATAAGTAAACTTTCTATGAACATTTATGTGCATATTTTTTGGTGTACATATGGACTGATTTGGAGGGACATATATTTGGTAGTGTATAGTTGTAGGATTATGGCATGGATATGTTTAGTAGGAATTATCAAACAATTTTCCAAAGTGGTTATGCTGTTTTATACTCTGGCCAGCAATGGATTTTTAACATTAGTATTTTATTCTTTTCTTTTTTTTTTTTAGACAGCATCTCACTCTGTTGCATGGGTGAGTTCTGTGGCGTCAGCCTAGCTCACAGCAACTTAAAACTCCTGGGCTCAAGCGATCCTCCTGCCTCAGCCTCCTGAGTGGCTGGAACTACAGGTGCACACGACCACGCCTGACTAATTTTTTCAACTTTTAGTAGAGACAGGGTCTTGTTCTTGCTCAGGCTGGTCTGAACTCTTAAGCTCAACCAATCCTCCTGCCTTGGCCTCTTAGAGTGCTAGGATTACAGGTGTGAGTCACTGCGCTGGCTTATTAGTATTTTAATTAAAAAAAAAAGTTTGGCCTTTTGGATGGTGCGCATTATTATCCCACATGACTTTCTTTTCTTTCTTTTTTTTAAGAATTGGGGTCTCTCTCTGTTGCCCAGTCTGGAGTGCAGTGGTGTGATAATAGCTCACTGCCTCCTTCAACCCCTGGGCTTAAGTGATCCGCCTCAGCCTCCTGAGTCCCTAGCTGGGACAACGGGCAGGTGCCACCATACCTGTCTATGCATGTGCTTTTACTTTGCATTTCCTTGATGAATAATGACACTGAGTACCTAGATTATTGGCCATTGGTATTCTCTTTTGTGAAATACTTGTTCAGAGTTTTTGCCAGTTTAAAAATTACGTTGTCCGTTCATCATAAGGAGTTCTCTTATATATGTTGGACGTGACTTCTTTGTTTTTAATTTTGATGTAGTTGAATTTATTTTTTTATGTGTAATGCTTTCTTGCTTTCTGTTTAAGGCACCTTTATTTACTTCAGGTTTATTCTTCTGTGTTTGTTTTGGAAAGTTTATTATTTTTTGTATTGAATGAATTTCCACCTTGAATTAATTTTTGAGTGTTAAGAGAAGATTCAAAGTTCTTATTTTGTATACTTGAAAATGAGGCAATCTCATTTATTGACAGTACTATTCTTTTGAATTGCATTGGTGCCTTTGTCATAAATCAACTTTCATCAGATATGTTTGAGCCTATTTTAGACTTTGTTATATTTTATTGATTGTTTATCCTTACCTCAAAACCACAGTCTTAATTAGTGCCCCCCTCCCCCCTGCCCAATACCCTATTACTGTAGTACCTATGTGTCCACTTAGGTGCTACTCAGTTAATACCAGTTTGCTGGTGAATATATGTGGTGCTTGTTTTTCTATTCTTGGGGTACTTCACTTAGTAGTATGGGTTCCATCCTCCTAACCCAGGAAAATTAAGATGTGCTATATCCCATTGTTTCTTGAGAGCTGAATAGTACTCCATGGTATACATATACACCATTTTATTAATCCATTCTTGGATTGATGGGCACTTGGCTGTTCACAGCCTTGAATTATGAATTGTGCAGCTATACCATTCCGAGTGCAGTTGTTTTTTTTTGTAAAGTGTTATTGGTCTCTTGGGTAGATGCCAGCAATGGATTGTGGATCAAATGGTAGTTCACTTGTATCGTTTAAAGGTAATCTCCATATTTGCTTTCCACAGAGTTTGAACTAGTTTGGCAGTCTCACCGCAGTGTAGGAGTGTTCCTCTCTCTGCCTCCACATCCATGCCAGCATTTGTTATTTGGACTTTTTGATAAAGGGCCATTCTCACTGGATTAAGTGATATTCTCATTGTAGTTTGATTTGCATTTCCCTGATGATTAGAGATGATGAACATTTTTCTCAATGTTTGTTGGAATTCTTCTGTGCTTCCTTTTAGAAGTTTCGTGTTCAGTCTTTGTCCCACTTTTAATGGGTTATTGATTTTTTTTCTAGGCTGATTTCGTGAGTTTCTAGTATTCTAGTTATCGAGCCCTTTATCGGATACGTAGGTGAAAAATTTTCTCCCATTCT